AGCTGTCTGGTACACCAAACGGTAGAATTCACGTTTCTCATCCTGATTATCCCGGGATGTATTCTGGAGGGTTTCTAGGATGTCTATCGCCTCAAACTTATTGAACTCAGAGAGCAGCCGTGCTGCATAATCCAACATCTTCCTTATTACAGTAGCCACTGAGAGCCTTGTCACTTCATCAAGTGACTTTTGGAGGTCAGCAAAGCTCTTCTTTATAGTCTAGAATAATAAGAAGGGGAAATTGACTTAATGTACATCACCCTCGCATGCCACTCAACAGCCCCCAAATAAAGCAAACTGTGCCATTCCATGGTGAACTCTCACCCCATTGCTCTTTTTGTTACCATTGTGAACTCTCACCCCATTGCCTTTATATAGTGAACTCACATCTCTTTTTATGGTGAACTCTCACCCCATTGCTCTTTTTTTTGTTCTCCATGGTGAACTCTCACCCCATTGCTCTTTTTTTTTCTCTATGGTGAACTCTCACCCATTGCTCTTTTTTTTTCTCCATGGTGAACTCTCACCCCATTGCTCTTTTCTTTTCAAGGTGAACTCTCACCCCATTGCTCTTTTCCTCATGGTAAACTCTCACCCTTTTTTCATGGTGAACTCTTGCCCCATTGCTCTTTTTTCATGGTGAACTCTCACCCCACTGCTCTTTTCCATGGTGAATTAGCTCTCACCCCATTGCTCTTTTTTTTTAGGTGAACTCTCACCCATTATAATTTTTCCTGGTGAACACTCACCCCATTGCCTTTTCCATAATAAATTTTTTTCTTCTGGTGAACACTCACCCATTGCCTTGCATAATAATATTTTTTTTTGTCACCCAAAGGTGAGGTTTGACACCATTTCGCAGCTATTGTTTTGCTTTGGTAAATTATCACCTTTGACATTCTATAGAAACATCAAACAAATACCAGCGGTACGCCTCCACCCCCTCCAGCTGTTGCATGATCCTAAATAACAATTTCTGAACAAAAAAAAATAACCCAGCCGCTAATAAACATTCCCTGTATCCACGAGATAAAAAAATATGCATGCCACCCACGTTAACAACATATAGTCGCCCACAGAAAACCCGCCAAGACCCGAAATACGCTAGAATTGCCGATATAAGCTTAACAACAACAAGCAAACTGACTGAAACATGAACGAGGAATGAGCTGGAAAACCGAAAACAGGCAAAGAAGGAAGACAAATAAAGGGCTGCCACCCTTGTCCCTGTTTGCAATTTATAAAAAACACACATAAGTGACAGAAGTAAACATATTCTACCTCAAGCTCTCTGTGTTGAGCTTGTCCCACAGCTTGTTGAGTTACTTGTGCCACGGCTGGTTGACTTTCCTGAGCCATGTGTTCGGCAGCTGATAAAGCCTCCTGTCCGACAACTTGTTGAACTACTTGAGCTACTTGACCACCAGCTGCTTCAGCTCCATGAGCTGCGAGTTTGTCAGCTGGCTGAATTCCTTGGGCAACCAGTAGAGCAGCTTGAGCTGGGGCTCCTTGTCCCGCAGGATACTGTACATCCACCATACAATAAGAAAAGGAAATACGAGGAACGGAAAAAACAACCCTCACCGTACGGCAGTTGAGCCAAAGTGATAATTTATTCATGTACACTGATCTTATATGCTTGCTTTAATGTATGCAGTGTGAATAGTTGAATATAAGGGGTGGCAAATGATCCTTCAAAGACCATGGGTCTTGCAGTCTAGTTTTTTAAGCTGTTATGTGCGTCTCGCAGTCTCGATTTTTTCCAAGCTGAGAACGTCTCAAAGTAGCAATTAGTTATATTTTTATACAAGTTTAAATGACATACTGAAAGGTCTTAGAACCTGAACGTCTATAGCTTGCATTTAAACCACTTTGAAGTCTCAGTCTCATCACTGAAGAGGTCAAAATGTGTCGGGCTCGCAAAGAAAAACACTAGACTCGTCTGCTCGCAAGTTTCGCATTTACCATTTACCATCCCCAGTATAATTGGGGGGATTTGTCTGCCTTAAGTAAAATTCAGTTAAAAATAAGAAACAATTGACTTGGCCACTCTCAATTGTTTGTTTCTTTTCAATTTCCTGTTGTTACAATTACAAGAAGTCAATAAAACTAGTTGTAAACTAGCTCTCAAGCTAAGCATATGTCCATGTTAAATAAAGCATTCATTCATTCATGCATGCGTGACTGGAATAACTTGTATGCACTAAATGTATGCATTGCAGACATTTTCTATAATGACAAAGTACCTGATGAGTGTAAAGAACACCATCAGCTGATGAATGGACACTCACTCAGGTGATGTACACTCATACGTGTACTGTAGCCCATAACTTGATAGTGAAGCAAATCTAAAGTTTTCTTGTAAACTTTCATTAACCCATTCAAGTTATGAGCAGATAGTTAAGATTCATAGTGTTCATGAGTGTCTTTTAAGAAAGCATAGAATGAAAATCCAACTGTGATGATTTTTTTCTGTTGTTTGTGTAGCTCAATGACAAACCTGTTCAGCATCGTGAAGTCATGAATCATGAATCAAACTTGTTTAAGAGCTACTTCAAGCTAATTGAACTTATGAAAGGAGGGTATGTGAAATTCTGTTTTTAATATATAGTATAACGTGTGTACATACCATGCATTATAACATTGAGTTCTTACCGATAAATTCACCAGACCTGAATGTCTTTACATTGTTACTATGCCTTTAGAAACACCTGATTAACTATGCGGCCTGAGGCTGAGCCACAATCCCGGACAAAAGTAGTTGGGACACGTGAACTGAATCTCATATCCCCCATCACTGGTCACCCTAATCAATGTTGGAAAATGTCACCGTTTTTTTTTTTTTTTTTCCAAAGAAAAGGGAAGAACCACATGATTATCAACATTGTAAGTGGGGGGTGGGGGTGGGGGGAGGGAAACTTGCTCAAGGTGTTCCAACTTTTTCATCTGGGATATCAGCCGGTCTTGTTTTGCTACAGTGACTATTTTTTATTTTGTCTGTGAACAGACCCATCATAGACACATAATAGACCATTAATTGCAATATATTTATCACTATCATGTTTCATCTCTAAATTACTTTATCCACAAGCTGACCCTGGGTATTCTTTGATTTTTCCTTGTGTAGCGCAGAGACTGGCTTCAGGAGAGTTGGACCTACAGGATATAAATCACGCTTGCTCAAGTTTAATGATGAGGTAAAGATAATATTATTTCTTCTTGGTCATTTTCTGCTCTTTAGTCAGTTTAGAATTCTTATAGTGATTATACCTTTCCTTCAATGTGAATCTTGGGTATAAGGTCAAATTAGATAATTGATGCTTCTTTAATAATAACAAGATAATATAATAATAATAATAATAATAATAATAATTCTATAATATAATAATAATATAATAATATAGCAACAGTAATAATATTATTGAGGGGCAGCAGCTAGGGTGAATCACTGTAAAATTTAAGGCATTCCCTGGCTAAAAATATTCTTAAAACCATTCTCAATAAGCCATTCAAAAGGCCCCCACTGGAGTTCCTGGCTCCAAAGTCATGACAAGCATTAGATTTATAAGCTGATGTTGTTTTCAAAATTCCTTGTTCTAACTGTTCATTGAGTTATGTAAGTGAAACAGTAGGTCTTTTGTTGAGTGGAAAATAGAGCAATTATAGGGAACATTAAAACAGTGGCCAAAGGTATCAGTTTTGCAAATCCTGCATGGTCTTGTGACCATATCATTGATTTTAATAGTGCTTCTAACATTGGCATTTATCACATTAGAAGGTTTGTTCTTGGAATCTCAACATACCATGACAACACCCAATGCAGGCCATAACTCTTGTCCACTGCCAGGACAATACATGTACAGCACTCTTTTTAGCAAAATATCTGGCATGCATGTTCATTTCAATAATTTTATTCTATTGTATTCCTTTTTTATTACACCCTATATTAGAATTTGTAGTACCTCAGGCTCTTCAGCATTTAACCTGTTGAACACTGCAGTTTATGCCTTCAAAAGCTTTTGTTTTTAACCGAAGAATCTTTTAAATGTTACTGGATAATTTTTCCCTAGTTAAGTTAATTTTATTCACTGTTTAATTTTACATTTTGTGGCAAATTTAAATGGTTGGTTGTTGGTACAACTCACTCAGCAACGAACCAACCAGTTTTGTTTAATTTAGAATTAAACAATTTAAAAACTAGAAAATGTATCAAATTTATAAATTAACTCATGCCTCTGATACATGTATATTGTTAAATTCTAGTACACTTCTCCATCTGTGGACATGTACAAGTTCTTAGTATGACAATTGAATTAGGTTCATGTAATTATATCTCCCATTCCAGATAGTGGAACAGACAGCTTTGTCCTGTGTAGAAATAAGTTTTATCATTGTTGTGCTTTTCAATGCATGCCACATTTCGTAAAATGTTCAGCTTATTTTGGCCCAGGCAGCCTAAAGAAAGAGCAAGAATTAAGCATGTAGTATTAAAGTGCTATTTGCAATTGGTAAATGGCGTTTTAAATCTTCCTGGAATTCTATGTGATATATCTAAACATTAAAGGGGTTAAAATTTGATCATAGTACCTCTTAGATTGGGTCTCTTTTTGGGAGTCACTAGATTAAACAGGGGGTGTCAAAGGATTAGCAAAAAGAAATGTCAAGCCATTTGAGAAAGGACAAGAAAAATTATACAACTAATAGCAACAAACAGCAATAAACGGTAAGGAATGAACTGCAGTACTCCTCATATCAAAATAGTTTGGAACAGCAATCACTTTAAAATAGAAAGATATTACCAAAATGCACAATGCTGGATTACCAAAATTGAAGACTCTTTTCTAGGTTACAATTCTGCAGCAAGTTCAAAATTAAAGCAAATTTCTCAAATTACTGTGGTCTATGCCATGTAAAAGTGGATCAATATTCTCAAAGGAAATGTTACTTCACCGAGATAATGTAGCAAAGTAATGCTAGAAATAACATCAAGCATAATGCACTGTTCTAAATAAGTAAGTAATGTGACGTGTTGATAAATTGTAAGCAATCTGGTGTTATTTTTTTATTTTTTATTTTTTTTATTT